GAACTAGGGTGGGCGGGTTGGGCGCGTGGAGTGACCCGGGGGACCGGGCCGGGTGGGCCGGAGGAGGACCGGCGCGACTGTGTCCGACTCAGTCCGACTCCGGAAAGCTCTGAGAGAGCTGAGGGCCCAGCCTGGGAGGGGTCCTCTGTGCCCGGAAAGCGCGAGATTGAGCAAGTGATGCCCTGAAAAGCATCGAGGGACCAGTGCTCTAGGAGCCAAGAGATTCGAACCTCCAAATTGGGAATTCTGACAGCAAAGTTACGGAGAAGCTTAGGACCTAATCAGGGTTGCCCCGGGGACCCACGGAAAGAATCAAGGGACCCGAGACTTGCCCTCCTCTAAAGATGGGGCCACTTTGTCTCAGCGAGCCCTTGGGGCTGCCTTCCTCCCAAGTAGGGCCAGGCTTCGGGCTGTCTTTAAATCGGCACTTAGGAATATTGGGTTGGCAGCTGTGATCTAAAATGTATTTATGGACAAGAAACTGTGCCGATACACGCATCGGTGTCGCCTGCAATTGTTTCAACAAAATATCTGAGTTGGTGAAGTGGGGCCACTTTGTCTCAGCGAGCCCTTGGGGCTGCCTTCCTCCCAAGTAGGGCCAGGCTTCGGGCTGTCTTTAAATCGGCACTTAGGAATATTGGGTTGGCAGCTGTGATCTAAAATGTATTTATGGACAAGAAACTGTGCCGATACACGCATCGGTGTCGCCTGCAATTGTTTCAACAAAATATCTGAGTTGGTGAAGTAACTCACAAGAAGCCTTTGATGGTCACTGGGGCGTCTCAGGGTGGAGAGGAAAGAACGTTCGGTTACCTAGGATCAGGTATTAGCATCCTGCAGGGAGCAAAACAGACTTGGGACGGGGCTCGCGCGACTGTCGCTTGACCGTGGGTGGGGACCTCAGCGAGTGGAGAGGTCGTAGCTGTTCCCCCTCGGGGGTGCCCCGAGGAGCGGATTCGGCGTTTGGTGTTTTTCTCCAGAAAGGATTAGGGGATGGGAAAAAAGACATTTCGGGTGTCATGTTCCCGGATTTCTCACCTTTGCTGGGGGGAAAGGCGGGCCCTGGACTCCAGGGAGTCAGGGTGCGGTCGATTCGCAGGAAGTCAAGGCAAGAAGGGCTAAAGGAGAACACAGCAGCTCTGGCCTATTATTTTTTAAAAAATAATTTCATAGCGTTTAGATCGAATACTATCGTGGGGAGTAGAATACTGGGGAATGTACAAAGAAAGGTGATTTCTTTCATCTGTAATCCCCAGTTTACACTTTGAAAAGTGTTGCATGTGTAAATTGAAATCTCTATTGATCCTCTCCTGTCTGTCGGTCTTTCTAACTCAGACAGTTATCAACTTTTCAGTGTATTGATGACACAGCGTGGTGGAAACACTTTTTATTTTGTAGAGTAATGGATCTCTTCAAAAGTATCTGCTTCCTGTAAGGAGACAGGGTTTCAAAGCAAGTCTTCCTTGCGAATCTGTGACTTAACACCTTAGCCTTTCACTGAGCTGACAGGAGGTTGAGGAAATCTCCCCATTTTGCACTTTGCCTGCTTCTTTCTGGCTTCCTTTTCCTCGACCACCCTCTAAACTGCCACTATAAATACATTTTCTACTAAACATAACAAGAAAAAAGACTAAACATACCAAGAAAAGAAATACATCAGACCGTTTCGCGATTGGTGAAAGGTTTTAAGTATCTTTCCGGGGTTTTATTTTCCTTTAATAAAATTATCAGGAGATGCTGAAAACTAGTTTGCATTAATCAGTTTGCTTCTGCATGTTACAAATGAGCTCCTCATTTATAAACATAAACATAGGTTTAACACTGTTCTCCTTATCAAATCCACCTTGAGAATTATGTTATCTATCATGTATTTTATATATATATATATAATATACATATTATACATCATCTGTAATCCCCAGTTTACACTTTGAAAAGTGTTGCATGTGTAAATTGAAATCTCTATTGATCCTCTCCTGTCTGTCGGTCTTTCTAACTCAGACAGTTATCAACTTTTCAGTGTATTGATGACACAGCGTGGTGGAAACACTTTTTATTTTGTAGAGTAATGGATCTCTTCAAAAGTATCTGCTTCCTGTAAGGAGACAGGGTTTCAAAGCAAGTCTTCCTTGCGAATCTGTGACTTAACACCTTAGCCTTTCACTGAGCTGACAGGAGGTTGAGGAAATCTCCCCATTTTGCACTTTGCCTGCTTCTTTCTGGCTTCCTTTTCCTCGACCACCCTCTAAACTGCCACTATAAATACATTTTCTACTAAACATAACAAGAAAAAAGACTAAACATACCAAGAAAAGAAATACATCAGACCGTTTCGCGATTGGTGAAAGGTTTTAAGTATCTTTCCGGGGTTTTATTTTCCTTTAATAAAATTATCAGGAGATGCTGAAAACTAGTTTGCATTAATCAGTTTGCTTCTGCATGTTACAAATGAGCTCCTCATTTATAAACATAAACATAGGTTTAACACTGTTCTCCTTATCAAATCCACCTTGAGAATTATGTTATCTATCATGTATTTTATATATATATATAATATACATATTATACATATATTATATATTATAGATATATATGTGTATAATGTATATATATGTTTTTTTTTTCTGTACTGGGGACCGAACTGGGGTCCTTGTGCTTTCGAGGCAGGCGGCACCACTGAGCTAAACCCCCGCCCTATCATGTATTTAAATGACATGTCCTTGGCCATAGTCTGTCATGTTGCTAAAAGGTTTTTTTCTTCCAAAGGAACTAAAGCAGCAGTGTTTGGCAGATCTCCCTGTTCCAGCCTGTACTTTTGCCCCTTGGAGTATATAAACTTTATCTCTAACTAATGCTAACAAGTGTGCAAGTCATCTTTTCAGCTTTTGTAACATTAATAATGTGACTTCTTGACCTGAAAGAGTTTTTTGTTGTTGTTCTCTTGGTAACATCTGGCATACTCCTTTTTTTTTTTAATAGAAGAGGATATAACTTTTATGTTAGTGAAACAAAGATTAAGACAGAGAAAGTAAGGAACCGAGAAGTAGTTGATTGTAAAGCCAAGACCTCGAAGAAGTCAGTTTTAGTATATATTTAGATTGAGGCTTTGTTACCTTTTAAAAAGAAGATTGTTGATGTTCATACTGAGATGTAGCTAGATTCGGAAGCAACCTCCCAATAAGCAAGGAATGTAAACTCCTTCACATTTTCATTCCTGTTGCAATCCATATATGGTATCTGTAGTAACCTGTGGTTAATCACACTGTCCGACTAACTAGCATTCCCATCTTGCAATGAGCTTGGCTAGAAAAAAATTATCACACTCTTCTGGTACTGAGAGTACTGAAAGGTAAATCTTACTATCTTTGAGGTGCTAAGAATCTGAAAAGTAGTGTTTCCATTTTGTGAAAGGTAGATGTCCATGAGAGAAGAAAAGTTGAAAACTCCATAACCCTTGTTCTCAGTCTAGAGGGTCACCTTTATATTTCAGGCACTGTTTGGGTTTCCATGTTTTCCTTCTTCCTTGGCAGTGCCAGGCGCCAGACTCAGGACCTTTTGCACCCTACTAGACAAACACTCTAAGATCGATTCCCGCCCACTCCATTTTTAAGGTTCCTTTTCTTCTATATGAAAGAAGATTTTATTTAGAATGTCTTCTTTGCAGACTTAGTTCATAAAATTGAGCAACATAAAAGTGAGACGATTGCAGATCATTTTCATTCTCCCTTTGGCATGAGATCTTTCTATCAGGACTTAATGATTTCTTTAATTTTGCCACCACACTATTAATAAAATTTGTATAGTCCTGAAAAATAAAACCAAAAAAATTTGTTTTTCCCAGGCTTTAGTAGGAAACCCTTTGTTAAGTTTTTAAAAATAATTTAACTTAAATTTACTTGTAACCCTAGGTGTTACAAATCAGATATTATTTAGGTTTTATAAATCAGGATCTTTCTTTACAAGGAAATTTTTTCTCTCCTTCTCCTTCTCCTCCTCCTTCTTGCTCTTCCCCTCGTCCTCCACCTCTTCTTCTTCCTCCTCCTCCTCTTTCCTTCTTCTTCTTTGCTGTGCTGGGGATTGAACCCAAGTCCTAGAGCATGCCAGTCCCTTTTGAAAAAATTTATTTTGAGACAGGTTCTTGATACGATGCTCAAGTTGGCCTCAAACTTGTGATCCTCCTGCCTCAGCCTCCTGAGTAGCTGGAATTATAGCTATGTGCTATAATTCCTTTACAACTCAAATTGAAAATCTTTTGAAAAGCAACTTTCTTGTATATTGCATTTTTATTTGGTGATCTTCTATAAATTTAAATATATTTGTTCATTTTGTTAATATAATGATGCCTTTACTTTTTCATTTTATTTTAATAATAAATGTAACATACACAAAATATAATATCCAACTTATAAATTATAATTTTAAGAATACTTTAGTTTCAAGAAGCATAACATAACTCAAATTACATTGATCAATTAAGTGTGTATTCTTTCCAGTAGTGTAATATACAGCAACAAAATGAATATGTTATTGCTGCATATTCATCATGAAAAATTTCACAGATATAATTTTGAGCAGTGAACAAGCAAATTGCATACAAGTTGCATATGGCTGCATAGACTTAAAAGATACAATTTGGTAAAATAAAACTATGCTGTTTAGGGAAACAGACACATGGGATCAATTTAAGCAGAGAAATAAATGCATAAGACAAAAATCAGCCATTAGTGATTATCTGGGTTTTGGGATTTAAGAGAAGGAAGGAAATAGAAATGGAGAGTGAGACTGCAGTGTAGAAGGACTTCAAACAGTAGTAATGCTCTATTTTGCTTTACCCTGAGAGTGAGCACCCTAGGGCTGATTTTATTATTAGTTAAAACACATACGCTATATGTACTAGTTCATATTTACTGTAGATTTTTCAAAGGACATTTAAAAAAAAGAAGCAAGCAATAGAGGGAACCAAACAAACCCAAAGCCCCTCTTCAACAAGATAAGCAGAGTCCGCTACAATTGAGCAGGCAAAAATAGAGAAGGCACAGATAAAAGAGTATTAGGATAAAATGAGGTTCAGTTTTGGGGAAAAAATTAAAATGATATTAATAGGTTACTACACTTAATTTGAAAACAGGCAAATTTCACTGAAGTGTTCAAAATCTCAATAGATTTATAGCCATTAAAGAAATTGAATTAAAAGCCAAATATCTCCACATACACAATTCTTCACATCCATCAGACCTATAGTAGATGAATTATTCCATAATTACATGGAACAAACAATATCTTTTATAGATTATTTTAAAGAATAAGAAAAGCAGAACTTTTCTGAATTCATTTTATGAAGATTATATAAATTTGAAAAATAGTAATTTAACTTCACCTAGGGGAATCACGTTTATAAAATACTAAGGAAATAGGAGCAAACCAATCTAATCATATGTTAAAAAAAATATGTCAGCTGGACATGATAGCACACCCCTGTAATTCTAGCACTCTGGCAGGCTGGGGCAGGAGGGTTATAAATTCAACTTTAATCTGGGTAATTTAGACAGTTCTGTCTCAAAAAGATAAAAGGGGCTGGGATACAGCTCAGTGCCAAAGCCCTAATTTCAATCCCCAGTATTACAAAACAAATAAACAAAAGTTCTGTCCACATCAAGTTTATTCCGGGGAAGAAACTGAACTATTTCCCAAGTGACTGTACCACTTTACATTTCCATCAGCAGTATATGAGGGTTCCAGTTTTTCCATATTCTTCTCAACAACTTATTTTCTGTCTTCTCAGCCATCCTAGCAGGCATCTCACTATGGTTTAGATTTGTATTTGCCTATCACCTCGTGATGTTGAGCATCTTTCCATCTGCTCAATGGCCACTTGAGTATCTTTGGATGTCTATTCAATTTCTTTGCCTATTTTTTGTTATTGAGTTTTAAGATCTATTTATACGCTTGGATATTGGTCATTGTTTTATGATTTGGAAATATTTTCTCCCATTCTGTGAGCTATATTTTCAATTGCTTTATCATATAGTTTAAAGAAGAAAAAATTTAAATCTTAATTAAATCCTAATTATCAAATTTTATCACTTTGTGTGTTTTTTTGGCATTAAGAAATCATTGGCTAGTCCAGCATCATCAAGATTTACTCTTAGGTTTTCCTTTAAATATTTTTGGTTCTAACATTTAGATTGGTGATTCATTTGGAGTTAATTTTTGTTTATGGTGTGATTTAGAAGTTTATAACTTTTTTACATTAGGTTATTTACTTGTCCTATTATTAGTTGAGCAGGTGTCTTTCTCGAACATTTTGGAAACTACCTAAGCTTCCTGAAGTTAAACAAGTAAGGCTCATTTCTGTGATTTCAATTCTGTCCTATTTAAATATGAGCCTATTTAAATATGGCAGTGTCACTCTGTGTTGTAGCTTTGTAGTATGTTTTGAAATTGAGAAACATAACTTCTCTGATTGTGTTCATTCTCAAGTTTATTTGGGCCCTTTTCATTTCCATATGGATTAATTGTTAATTCTTCAAAAATGGCAGTGAGGGGCCAGGGATTTAGCTCAGTTGTTCTGCCTCACAAGCGCTAGGTCCCCAGTTTGATCTCCAGTACCAAAAACAAAACAAAACAAAACAAAAAAATGGCAGTGGGAATTTTAATAGGAATTGTATTGAATCTATAGATGAGTTTAGAAGGTCTTCTGATCTATGAATTTGGATAGCTGTCAATCTGGTTCTTTAAATTTTATTCAGCAGAGTTTTGCTGGTTTTAGTGTATGGTCTTGTACTTCTTTGATGTCTTCTGATCTGTGAATTTGGATAGCTGTCAATCTGTTTGGTTCTTTAAATTTTATTCAGCAGAGTTTTGCTGGTTTTAGTGTATGGTCTTGTACTTCTTTGACTAAATTTATTCAAATTTTATTCTTCTTGATACTACTGCTGTTGGGATTGTTTACTTATTTTTATTTTCAAATGTTTTTATTGATAATGTACAGGGATGCAATCATTTCTTTTTGGTATGTTTGTCTTATTTCTGGTAATTTTGCTGGTTGATTTGTTTGGGTTCTTTTAATGGATTCCTTAGGATTTTCTACATAAAAGAGTACGTTATCCATGAACAGAGATAGTTTTATACTTTCTTCCAAATCTGGACTTAATTATAAAGAGGGATTAGAATTTGTCAATTACTTGTCTCTGCATCTGCTGAGATGATTATGTGGTTTTTGTTCTTTATTTTCCGTGTATAAATATGATTTTTTAAAAAATTCTAGGTCTTCAGTTTTTCTGGTGAAGCCTGTAAAACTGTGATGTTAAATGTACCTTCTAAACTAGAGGCAGACAAACTGATTGGCAGAGGTAAGAAATTTCATAATACTCTTTATGTTTAGTTTAGCATAAATTTAATTTTCCGAGTATGATATATCATGTTTGCCTTCTAGAGTTGGCTTGAGTGTACTTATAAGTAGAAACAATGCCAGATTATTTTAAGTATGTATTTTTTGCTCTTTGTAATTGATTCTAGTGCAGCTGTTCTAACTTGATGTTTTTGTGGTTATCTGTGATTTAACGATTTGAAAATTATACAGTCACATATAACATGTATCACTCTTACTGATCTAGGGTTCTAAACGTTTGGGAAATATAGATAAGCAGCTGAGAGAATCAGCAGTATTTTCATCAATGCTATAGCTACGTTGAGGACCACAACTAGGCGAGCCATTCCATTCAAAAATTGAACTTATAAGCACACTGAATGCTGAGAAACTGGAGAAACAGACTTTCTCACCAGCTGGAAGGCTCTACCCCATGGGCTTTCTGTGTAGGTGCAGAGAATACTGGAAGAAAGTATCATAGTTTTTTTTTTTTTTTCCAAAGCAGTATGGTTTATCCCAAAGATATAAAATTTACTTTTTCAACAAAGTGTTCCATCCTGGGCTACTTTTATTAAACAAAGACACTTTAATTCCCACGAAGAGGGATAAAATGAAGGGATGTAAAGAGAGGTCAGATGTGCTTCTCTGGGAGTTAAAAACCAGAAGGAAATTTATCATCATCCCTAAAAATGCTCCCTTCCTTTGGCTAAACATCTCCACATGTGACAGATTCACATTAAAGTAGTGATACTGTCCGTGGGCAGCATGTGAACCCTCTGGAAGATGAGTGCTTGAGGATTATCGGTGTGTTTTTTGACAAAGCACGTAGACGAAGAATAGGGTGGACACCGTATATCTTGTTACTTTATTTTCTCAGGAAAAGAGTTTAATAAAGAGCAGTTTGGGTAAGAGCTGGCCTGTATTATTAACAGACACGCAGGGAAGCCTGGACCATCTTTCCTGGTGAAGCTCTCTCCAGAGGCCTCACCTCTGACTCCTCAGCAGCCCTGCTCCTGTTTTCCTTTTGCTTTCACATCTTTCCTCTCAGCACCTCATCCACTCTGCCTCCCTGATAAGCCTGTCTGCTCTTATGGCCTCAGCCAGTTTCCCTCTGGCTTTTTTGTTTTTTAACTTTCCAAATCGGCCACTGGATGCCTAAGAAGTGACCATTGGCTGTGGAAAGATGATGAGAAGCGACCTCCTCCTGGAATCATCTCTGTCCCACAGGAGACAGGCCCGCCGTGGCCAGGGCCAGGGCCAGTGTGCAGACTCCCAGCTGACCCAGGGATCCACCCTGATTTTCCCAAAGCCATTATTTTTAAGTTATTCACAAAGCCCAGTGTACTTAAAAGTTTTCCCTCCTTGCCTTCAGTCTTAGTCCCTACTGCCTCCAGCTGGCACTGAGTCTCTGGGGCTTCTGATCTCTTCTCCATGTTGGGAAGCCATTCTAGCCACTGGTCCCAGGAAGCTGCAGCAGGTCAGCCTCACAGAGGGTGCTGAGCCCGCACCACGTTCGCCTGGGCCTTGCAGACACAGACTCATGGTTTCCTCTCTAAGCTCAGGGCTATCATACTTCTTTTGAGAGTCTCCACAAAAGGCTGGCTTGGCCATGAATTTATGGGCAGCCTCCCCATGGTCACCGAGTTTTCGCTGCTGGGCCCAGTCATGAGATTCAGACAGGCTGTGCCTTGCTAGAAAATGGCATAGTTTGATACTTTAAAATAATGATCTTTTATTAGAGGACAGCATTCCCAGAGAGGGAAGTCGTCATGTAGGGTTTCAGTGGGGCCCTACAAGGCTAGTGTCTTGTCTATAGGGAGAAATTGTACAGAAAAGTACCACTGGGAAGCATTCAAATTTCAGTTTTTCTTCACCCCTTACCTACTTCATTCCCTTCACTGTTCTTTGTTTCCCAGTGCATAACTTCTGGCTGAAGACAGACATCTCCTAAAAGACTCAGAGTATTGTTAAGGAAAACTTCTCTGTGTTTATTCAGGTGTATGTGGGGGCGAGTAGCGCAACTTTGTCATAATTGTAATGCCCACACCACTGTGATGGGAAGGTCACTTTCATAAGCCTACTAGAAGCCTTTTAGGGTATAAAACACTTTCTTCGATAGAAATATACAACCAATAATTATCATCATTTTACCGAAAGGAAGTTGTCCCCTAAAAATAATGTGAAAGGAGCTATTAAGATACTGGTTAAACACGAAGTTACTGGTTTGTATTAGTTGCCTTCACAATTTTGGAAGAAGATTGTTTGAATCATTTTTACTGTTTTTCCCATTCTGTATGTGCTTCTGATTAACAACTGGGAAATTTCTACTTGCAGTTAACTGGAAAGAGTGCTTCAGGTCTGCAGACCTCATCCAGTCACGCGATCCCGATTTCAGAGTTCTACGCGATGGGTCAGTGTACACAGTCAGAGTGGTTGTGCTGTCTGATGACAAAAGAGCATTTACCATACAGCTTTCTGATACAGAGACACAGACACAGAAAGAACTAACTGTGGTCCTGGAACACCAGAAGAAGGTATTAAGAGTGTACTGAATATGTTCACGCATATTTTTTTCATTAAAGTACTCTTCTTAAAAATTGCAGAGGATCAAAGCATCCTTGTGGACGGACCCTTCCCTTCCCTTCCCTTCCCTCCCCTCCCCTCTCCTTCCGTCCCTTCTTTCTTTCCTCTTCCCCTCCTACTCTTCTTCTTTTCTTCCTCTCTTCCTCTCTTTTTAAACTCTGGTTAGATACTGGCTTTAGTTTTACTTTTTAGAATTCAAATGATATCTCCTCTGTGAAGATTTCCTCCATCTCTAAATTCTAGCTAACGGCTTCTGTGTGCCAGAGTCATTTGGTAGCTATTCTTCAATGTTTAGATTTTTCCATTAGTGTGAACTGTTGATCATGAGAAATGCCATTATGAAAATAGTCACAAAACGATGAATGGCTTAGATTGGATTATTCCTAGTCTACATTAAATGATAAAGCTAATTTAAAATGACTGCTTAGCATTTTATTAAGTATTTAATAGTTATTTATTAATTAATTGTCTCAAAATCATTTTTTTTCCTTGTCACAACATGAAATAAAATGGCCTTCACTAAAAAAGTCTGACAGAACTTTTTGTAATGACAGAAATGTTCCATAATCTGCACTGTTTTGTATGGTAGTCTGATACTAATGTGTGCTGAATACTTGGCTTTTGCCTAGTATATTTGAAAGGTAGAATATTTCATTTCACTTAACTATAATAAACATAAATAATCACATGACAAGTGGTGGCCAGTGGCTGCCATATTGCACAGTGTAGTCAGACACAGCCACAAAGGATGTGCGTTTCCTTCCTCTGGTTCACCCAACAGTGGAAAGGTTTAACCGAGAGAGGAGGTAAATACCCTGTAGAAATTGTTTCAGAGGGAATGTGTTCTGTATCTGTAGCAGAGCAAGAAGAGCTAAGAGCACAGTGATGATTTTCCTACCTGAAAATCTGTCAGTGTTAGCAAGGTATACAAAAGAAAATCTTATGGCTTATGGGATGTTTACAATCCTTTCTTACCTGTCTAATCCAGAAAAGACTTTATTGACCAGTTTTAGTTTCAACATGGGAAGTTCCTAAGACCGAGCTGCTGGAGGGATGTTAGGTTTATAAGCTGCCCACTGTTTTACAACAAAGTAGACTATGATGCCTATATTTATTTTTCCTTTCTCTGAATCCAGATATTGAATAAAAGAAACACTAAGGAAACTGTTCTCAGGAGATCCAAGAGGAGATGGGCACCTATTCCTTGTTCAATGCAAGAGAATTCCTTGGGCCCCTTCCCTTTGCTTCTTCAACAAGTAGGTTTACATTCCTTCTGATTAGAATGCTTTAATTCCAAGAGTCTTTTTTTCAGGTTTAGTAACTTTTTAAGTATTTGAAAAACATATGTGATTGTAGATAGTATGATGTGCAATAAGAGTTAAAGGAGAAAAAGAAAATTAGTAAGATGCTAATGATACATGATTAGATTCTCCAGCCATTGAATGATTATTAGTATTCTTTCATATTGCATACAGTTGTTGAGTATCTACTGTATTTTATGGTAGACATTGCTATAAGTACTAAATAAATTAAGACCAAGCCCTTGCTCTCATATGGTTTATGGGCTCAGTGAAGGAAATAGGAATGGGCAAATGATAACAGAACTCAGTGAGGACTGTTATAAGAGAAACCTTCCCTGTGTTTGCTTTCTTCCTCTTAAATTTTTTTCATAGTGGATACTGTTTAATATTGATGATGAAATCACTGGGCTACTTGTTTGGTATTCTCTCCAGCATTACTAGGGCCTTGCTATTTCTTCATAAATATTATACTTTAAACACTCAAGAGGTATATTAGGAAATGACTTCTGATAATCATATTTGCACTGATCACTCATAGCTTTTGCCATTGCCTTGACTTATGCACATTTGACGTATTTGACCTTTTTCCCTTCCTTAAATCCTTCCTTACTTGGCTTCTAGGAAGGCATTCATTCACTCAGTTTACCACTTTCTTCACTAGCCGCATATTTTTTTTTTCTGGTCTTTCCTCCCTCAGTCTCGAAACTTGGGAGGGCTCAGTCCTTGGACCTTGTTTCTTCCTCATTTATATATCCTCTTCATCAATCATATCCTATCTGACTGGTCTACGTACATTTTCCACTGGATATTTGAGACATCCTATTTCCAACACAAACTTCTTAATTGGCATTTCCCCATGAAAGTTTAACAGACATTTCAAACTTACAGAATGTGAGTGCTGTGTTTTTCTCCTAAAAATCATTCTTCCATTTTAGCAGCATTTCAGTGCTTCTATTTGGACATTTGAGTGTTTCTTAAGGTTTTAGTCATGCAGAGAATAGTTCTGTGTAGACGGTTTATGGGCTCAGTGAAGGAAATAGGAATGGGAAAATGATAACAGAACTCAGTGAGGACTGTTATGAGAGAAACCTCCCCTGTGTTTGCTTTCTTCCTCTTAAATTTTTTTCATAGTGGATACTGTTTAATATTGATGATGAAATCACTGGGCTACTTGTTTGGTATTCTCTCCAGCATTACTAGGGCCTTGCTATTTCTTCATAAATATTATACTTTAAACACTCAAGAGGTATATTAGGAAATGACTTCTGATAATCATATTTGCACTGATCACTCATAGCTTTTGCCATTGCCTTGACTTATGCACATTTGACGTATTTGACCTTTTTCCCTTCCTTAAATCCTTCCTTACTTGGCTTCTAGGAAGGCATTCATTCACTCAGTTTACCACTTTCTTCACTAGCCGCATATTTTTTTTTCTGGTCTTTCCTCCCTCAGTCTCGAAACTTGGGAGGGCTCAGTCCTTGGACCTTGTTTCTTCCTCATTTATATATCCTCTTCATCAATCATATCCTATCTGACTGGTCTACGTACATTTTCCACTGGATATTTGAGACATCCTATTTCCAACACAAACTTCTTAATTGGCATTTCCCCATGAAAGTTTAACAGACATTTCAAACTTACAGAATGTGAGTGCTGTGTTTTTCTCCTAAAAATCATTCTTCCATTTTAGCAGCATTTCAGTGCTTCTATTTGGACATTTGAGTGTTTCTTAAGGTTTTAGTCATGCAGAGAATAGTTCTGTGTAGCTAACAGATAAAGATTTATTATAGCCTACCAAGCATTTTACAGAATTGTTGGGAGGGCTGAAGAAACAAACTTTAGTTTGAACTTTTTAGGGACATTGTAAGCTAGTGGCACCACAGAACAGGGCTTTCTCCACAGTAAACATTGATGCCAAACCAAAATGCCACTACCATAGTCAGGAAAATACCAAAGTCTAGAGGCTGTGCCTTCTCATGCAGCTCTGCATCAACCTCTTAATTGTTCCAACCAGTGCCAGCAAGAACACGACCCAGTCCCTATTTCTTGGCACCTACAAAGTTGGTGAGTAACTATTAGAGCATTCTCTGCTCCCCAAACCCAACCCAACCCAACCCAATCTAAATGGTGATGCCAGCAAAGCAGAAAAGCTGTCCAAATGAGACATCTGCCTCGCTTATGACTTCCAAGACCTGTGCAAACACATTTGACTGTCTGTATATAAATCTAGAACTCTAGTTTCAAGAGATTCTGGATACATAATAGAAAATAGGGAGGAAGACCTTTCAGAGATAGGAAGGGATCTAAGGACGGAGGGAAAGGGGAAGAAGGGGGAAGTGAAGTAAAAAGGATTAAGATGTACAAATACCAACTTGTCTTGGTGAATATATTCTTTATCTATTGCAAACATACCAATAAATCAGAGAAGAAGACTGGAAAATTTTGCATTTTGGGCTTGGTGTTGTTTAAATCTTTGTACATCTAGACTATGAGGGACACAGTGGAACATGAAATCGGTGTTGAGCCTCTCTTGCCGTGTCTGTCTCTTCTCACAGTTACGCTTTTAATTTCTGATTATTATAGGATATTTGTGTATCTGTATTTTACTTAGATCCCAAGTAACTGTGGGATGCTGGTATCCTCCAATATAGCATCATACTTAAATTCTGTCTTTTATCACACATCCAATCTCTGACAAAGCCTTTTGGCTGAATCTTTAATTTATATCCAGAACCTAAACATCTCTCACTGCTCTACCTGCCTGAATATTAGTCCAAAGAGTTATCATCTCTCCTCTCAATGTTTGCAGTCTCTTTCTAAATGGTCTACTTGCTTTTTTTCTTACCCAAAGGAAATTTTTGTTAAGAATAAATCAGAGTCTTGGCCTTTTAGAATATAAAATTATAGCTTTTTTTAAATATAAAAAAGTTACCTCTTTGAAATATATGCAAAATACAGTATCCTTTTTTAAAGTCAGCCTACATAATGAGGGAAAAAAATTATAAATCATGTCTGGTAAGGGATTAATGCCCAGAATAACAAAGAGCTTGCATAACTCAGTAGCAATAAATAAATGAATACATAGATGAATAAGAAATAATCAGATGAATGAATGGTCAAGGCAACTTAATAGTAGACATTTTTCCAAAGAAAACACACAAATGACCCACAGCTACAGAAGAAGGTGTGTATATCATTAATCATCACAAGTGAAAACTACAGTGAGATTTCACCTCATACCTGTTAGGAAACCTGCTACCAAAAAGGATAAGAGATAAGTGGTGGCAAAGATGTGAAGGAAAGGGAACCCTTGTATACTGCTGATGGGAATACCAGTTGGTACACCATTATGGAAAACAGTATGGAGTTCTTAAAAAGTTAAATACAGAACTATCATATGATCCAGCAATTTGACTACTGCATATACAAACATTCTTAATTTAATGAGAGAGTTATGGTCCTACAACTAGGTTGTTAATCAAACTGGCCACTAAATGAGGAATTTTATGTGTTATATTTAGAACAAAGGCGACTCCAACTTGATGACTTTGCTTTTATTTGGATGATTCTTACATGTAGTACTTTACAGTACAATAGAATATAAAACTACAGCAATATACAGTATAAGCAGAAATTACAGTGCTGTACTGTAGAAGCCATCATAGGCCAACACTGCTGCTCATGTTCCTGTGTCCTAAGTGCAAATGAGGGTTACAAGACCCACTGCTGGGTCCTAAATTCAAACAGCATGCCTTGGTATTAAATTGGGACAGTAGTTACATTTAAGTCCTTAAATGAAGAATGTCTGTACGTCCAAAGCATTAAAAGTTGTCACAGAGACATCTGTACACCTATTTTATTGCAATATTGTTCATAATAGTTAAGATATGGAAACTACTAAAGTGTCCATTGATAAATGCATAAAATCAGTTTCCCCCTCTCTTCTCTTTCCATCTCTCACACACGTACATACACCAATAAAACAGAATTCTTGTCATTTCAACAACATAGATAAAGCTGGAAAACTTTACCATAAGAGAAATAAATCATACACAGAAAAATAAATGCAGTGCTATATAATATCAGTTACATGTGGATTTTAAAAGAATTTAACGAAACTATAAAATGGTTGTTACCAGTCCTTAAGAGGTAGAGGAAAGGGATGTTAACCAAATGATACAAAATCTCAGTTATAAAATGAACAGTTTCTAGAAATCTAGTGTATGATGACTGTTGTGTTAAATTGATTGTTGTAATCATTGCACAGTGCATATACACACATATCGTCATGTTATTTATTTGTATATACTGGTTTTTTTTGAAGCAAACATTGACTGCTACACTTAAGATATACATAACGGTAACATTCTTCACTTAAATAGTTTTAAATTAAAGACAGTTTAAAAACCCCAGAAGATGTTCCCCTTGTGTAAATTCTCTAGTGGCTTACCATCTTCAGCTTTTCCCTGGAATCACATTTACGACATGGCCCATATGACCTCATTCCTTCTTCATCGCCTTCTTCCTCGCTCTTTTTGCTCAAAGAATAGTGGTTTCCTTGTGGCTCTTGGAAGATCCAAGCACTACTCTTGCCTGATTCCTCTGTCCTTCCTGTTTCTCCTAGGAAGTTTCCTTGCAAAGCCTTCCCTATTCTTTCTCATGGCCCATTCTTTTTTGTTAGTCCTCCCAAAGACTGTACTCTGATTGGCCTTCGCCACACCATTTTAAGTCTCTATTTGCCTTACATTTGCTAATAATGGATATTATTGTTCTGTACTGTTGAAATTTTCTTTTTAAAATAAAAAAAAAACAGAATGAAACAAAATTTTCATTGAACTGAATTTTAATTTTTTACATTTTTTAGGTTCAATCTGATGCAGCCCAGAACTATACTGTCTTCTACTCAATAAGTGGACGTGGTGTTGACCAAGAACCTTTGAATTTGTTTTTCATAGAAAGAGACACTGGAAATCTGTATTGTACTCGGCCTGTGGATCGTGAGGAATATGATGTTTTTGATGTAAGAGTTTTGTTGATAAAAGTGACTTTAGCTTATTAAACTGTCTTTCTTCTTATACTCATTCAGTCTACTGTTTCCTGTCTTCTTGCACGCTATTCTTAAAGGATATCTTAAAGTCAAAAGAAAATGGAATTGTGACAATTTGGAATGCTTGGTCATTTCCTTAGCTCAATTTTTGTTAGGTTAGCCTGAAATGAAGCAAAGAGGTTTACTGTTGAACATAAATTCCAGAACATTTTAAAGAAAATGGTTTTGCTTATGAAATATTTTCTCTGCCCTTACTCACTACTACTCCAGGATGTGTCTGTACTTAGTTGACAAGCTCCTATTTCTCTACTGCTGTACTTTTTTGGGGGTCTTCTTTCCACATATATGATTTTCTGATAAGTAAATAAAAGTGGGAGACCAATGAGTTTATAGTCAATAGGGAATAACTGACAATTTTCACTGTAAAACAGTGAATTCTATGGTACCATGTACATTCTCTGTGGTTTGGGAGGCGGGGATGATTCGCTATTGGAGAAAGATTCTGTTTCTAGGACAGGAAAGAGGATAAGCAGAAGTGACTGATGTTCCCTATGTTATATTCTACTCCTGGTGAGCAAATGTTCAACTCAGCATTGTTATGACATTCTGAATAGAAATACGTTCCTTTTGACCTTGTACTGCCTCTGATGAATTAGCGTGTCAGCAGAATAGTAGAGCATCTTGTCCTCCTTTTGCTGTATTTGGATATTAACGGAGGTTGCTTTTGCCTGTTTTGCAGTTGATTGCCTATGCGTCCACGGCTGATGGATACTCGGCAGATTTACCTCTTCCACTGCCCATCAGAGTGGAGGATGAAAACGATAACCATCCTGTCTTCACAGAAAGAACTTATAATTTTGAAGTTCCAGAAAGTAGTAGGCTTGGTAAGGTTATTTATGTGTTAAATATGTTTGTGCATATTTTTTGAGACATGGGGATTTTTATACTTGCGGCCAAGTCCTCTGAGTTAATACTGGCCTACTATCCACTTATTAGAAAACATTTACGGCCATCAGTTCTTATCAGCATGTTCCATCTGGGGTATTACAGGAATTGTAGACATTATCAATGTGATACTAATTAACTGTGGTGGCAGAAAACAATGATTGAAGCTTTTACTCTCTTTGGTTTATGCTGTTTATTTCATTTTCTCATTATGTGGTTTTATCATTCTTCTCACCTCCAAGAAAGAAATTGCGAGATCAAATGCACAATAGAACCACAAAGCAGTATAGGTATTTTAATGAGGTTTTACTTAGAGAGCTGTTGCACTATGCCTACTGAGGATACAATTTTTTAACCACTTTTTCATATTGTCTCTTCTTGCAAAACTACTCCTTCACTTAGGTGATTTAGAATAAACCCTAGAATAAGTTTAGAGAAACTCATGAAAGTCCTTCTTTACACATGCGGAAAAGCAAAGTATTTCCGTTTACTTGGTTGGGAATCATGGCATTTGCAGTGTCTTCTGAGACGTGCAATGTGAAGATCAAGCACCCACAATAAAATGAAGGCTGTAGACTCAATCACAGATGACTTTGCTCACTTTCCTACCAAGATTCCTAGGAGTTACTTAGAGCTTCACTGCATTTTTATATCTGCTTCTGTTTTTCACATTTCACTTTGACAACTTGATTATACCAATATTATTATCCTCTTAACTCACAGGTGTAAAAATGAAAAATCATTGGTTTGGCTTCTTATGCAGGTTCTCTTTTTGATTTACTGTGAAAATTTACAGAAGTCACTTGGAGTTCTCTTACCTGTAAAAGGAGTTAATTACAGTGATGACTAGTACTATTTTTAGATCCAGAATTCTATGACTCTGTTACATTTTTCCTTTTTTCAAAGAGGGGTGATTGGTCCCAGAGTTTTTCCTCTAGGATTCTTTTTCCTTTGGTACTAACAGGGAAGAATCAAGGATAAACTCTTGATGGCCCCATTGACTCTGGGGAATTGACACATATTACATCCATAGGTTCCTACCAATCAAGGCTGTGATGCTGAGCTGCGGAAGGACAATAAATTAGATCAGAACTTAGCAAAAGTAAAAAGAAAAAATCTAAAGAAAAAGATCATAGAAAGGAGAGAGTAAAGACGGGCCTACTAAAGGTCTTCTTAACCATTTATACAATTATATCCCAACCCATCTTCACTTAGCTATTAATCAAAAGTTGAATTTAAAAATAATTCTGAATTTCTTATCACTCAAGTTATTATTGCAATGTGTGGAAACATATATTAAACCATTCTCCATTGTAGTTAACTAATTGCTTTTAGCTATTTACTATTAAACATTTTAACTGTTAGCAGAATACAAGTATATCTTGATTGTCAGCATCAGAATGTTTTGTATTATACATTTGAGGGCAATTTTAGCAGATCTATCTAAAGATATAATCTCTCTGGTAAGAAATACAATTTTTTGGCATCATTGCTGAAATTTACAAAGTGTAGCTGTACCTAAACATACTTTGCAATTCTGGAGATTAAAAATTCTTTTTTTTTTTTAATGTATAGGAACTGTAGTGGGAGTGGTTTGTGCCACAGACAGAGACGAACCAGACACAATGCACACACGCTTGAAGTACAGCATTTTGGAGCAAACTCCAAGATCACCCGGGCTCTTTTCTGTACATCCCAACACGGGCGTAATCACCACGGTCTCTCACTACCTGGACAGAGAGGTAACTTCCACTCTGTGAAATGTCATTTGGGGATTGAGCCCCCAGGGCCCATTGTACTGTGATTTGCTATCTTAGAGATGAAAAACTTCTTATTTTACATAAGGCCTAAAACAGTAAGAATTTCTGGCATTTTTCCTCATTTTTAAAACATTATTTCTATTTTCTTATGTCAGAGGAGCCATAAAGGCTAAAAGTACACTCAAGCAGAGCTTAGAAAGGAAGGGAAAAATATTTCTTTTGAAATTGTTATTAACAAGTATCATTTTATTTCATTTGTTGGGTGTGGCTAATGGTTCCAGCTCAGTAAATACTTTAATTCTCATGGGGAACAATAAGTTTTGCTCACTTTACAAGTGCATATCATACCTGGTCTTTATTCAGTTATAGATATATGTACTTTTTACCAGAAAAGGATTATGTTACAATTGATGAATTATTTAAAAACTTTAGCACTGTTTAGAAGACAGTAATAGCATATTGTCATGTATCTAATAATTTGTGTGCAAATTCTTTATGCATAATTTTATTTGGATTTTGTAATTTTTTTCTTTGACTCTATATATCTGATCTAGAGAGGAAAACTGTAATGGTTGGAAAGATTGATTCACCCAAGTGAAATTACTCCACAGAATCTTCTAATATTTTGTTGTTATTGTTTCTCTGCCCATTTTGCCAGCCTACATAGATCTATATTATTAACTGAGGCAGATGAATCAATTTCATACATACAAAATAGCTTTATTGGAACACTGTAATGACCCCCTACAATTAAATAATACAGAAAGGTAAACATGGCTGGGAAAGATATGAAAAATCAGTGGAATGTTATGCCAAAGGAAAAAGGGAAAGATGGTGGGAATCTACAAAAAGGAATCAAAAGTAATACAGAGTCATTAGTTGTCATTATTTTAATTTTTGTAGGATTTACGCGATAAAACACATAACAAAAATAACAAATGGGACAGTTTGAAGGGGACATTATGAATGTTTTCATATTTTTGGAGAATGTAGAGAAGACATAGTACTCAAGTAAAATCAGAGATTTCCCCCACTTGTAACAGATTAAAACTAAATAATTTAATATTATAAGACTTGCATGTTACATTTTTGAGGATAAATCCAAGTCTGTTTGGCGAAAAAAAAAAAAAAAAACCTAATGGAACAACCATGGAATGCGTAGTAGCGAAAAACACAGAGTAAAGAAATGAACACAGGGAAAAACCTAATACATTTAGGAGAAGAAAAGCACATGGTGTAAGCCTTGAAGTCTATGGGAATGGTTGGAAATATTGATTTACAATGTGAAAGGGAGACCAAGTAAATAAAGACAGAGGGATGGGCAACAGGGCATGGAAAATGAACAAAAATAGATGGTAAAAGAGTAGTACAATAAAAGAAAAAGGCAACAATGACGATTGTTACCACGACTCTATTTTACCATTACCACACCGTGAACAGAAGTAAACGGTGACTTCCTGTTGCCAAATCGAGCAGTTGCCTCATACCTCTGTCTGTCATTGGCACTTATGAAAACTCCTTTCTCTTAGATTTCCGGTCCTCCTCGTTTCTCTGATCTTTTTTATTAAATATCCGTTGTTTAATCTTTTTTCCCCCATGCTTGAAATGCTGTTCTTCCCTATGTCTTCAGCTTTTCTTACCCTCGCCTGGACGTCTGATTCCTGCCGTAATTTCAGTCACCATGTACATACTGATGACTCCCAGATTGGTATTTCTGGCCACGATCTCTCCGTTAAGTTTGTTTGCTCTTTCTTTCCATGTGCCCTCATACTTCTAAATCTCTTTCCTTAAATTTCTAACAGATACCTAAATTCAGCATATGAAAGACAAAACTCATGTTTTCTCCCCTCCTTGCTAACTTATGTGATGTTCTTTCCTCAGAAGATCCTCTCATTTTACATTTCCTGGGTTGGTTGGTGATAGCCCTGTCTACCAATAAGTCTAGGACAATTGAGCATCACACTCAGCTCCTCATTGTCTCTTAACTTGTACATAGACTGTATTAAGTCCTGCTTCATTCTAACACCCAAGTAATTTTTCTGTCACTTTTTCTTTTTTCTTTCTTCTTTTTTTGTTGCTACTGCCTGTATGGGTCGAGTATGGGTCTCCTGTCTTAGACTACTGTAGGATCTTTGTAGCTGGTTGCTTTGAATCTCCACTTAGCTCACTCAAAATTATTCTCAATCTGTTGAAGAATATTCTTTCTAAAATTCAAGTGGTCTTGTATGCTTCCCCTATGACTCTCATAATTTTTTTTCCTATTGACTGTTAAGGCCTACGTCTGATTTCTTAGTACATACTTTGCAATTTAACCTCTGTTTACCTTTTCAGCTTTGTGCTTCTCTACCAAATTCTTGGAGTATAAACAAATTAAGAAATCCTATAAAAACATGTGTATACTCAAATAGAAGAGTGTGAAATTGGGGTTTAATTTATGAATCTAAACAAGTGTCCACTGTTAATTAAATATTTACCGTGTCTTTAGGTTGTGGATAGGTATACATTGATAATGAAAGTCCAAGACATGGATGGTCAATTTTTTGGATTGATGGGAACATCAACTTGTATTATAACAGTGAAAGATTCAAATGACAATGCACCCACATTTAGACAAAATGCTGTAAGTATACAATATGAGAATCTATCCCTGTTTTATTTATTTTTATTAATTATTTAACCTGGATTAATGAATTTATTTTAATTTATTTACTGCAATTTTTGTAATTTTAAATTTATATTTTTACACTATACACAACTCTGTTTCTGGAGTACTAGGAATTAAACCCAGGGCCTTGCATTGGGCTACAACCCAGCCTTTTCTTTCTTTAATTTTGAGACAAGGTCTTGTCAACTTGCCAAGTTGCCCAGACTGGGTTTAAACTTGTGATTGTCCTACCTTAGCCTCCAGGAGGGCTGGGATCATAGGCATTCTCAGCAGGTCTGGCTAAATCTCTTTCATTTGTTAATATTAATATTTCTATTAACCATATATTTTTAAAGGTCAGTAACAATAAAGTCTTCATTTGCAGGGGAGTTCTTTCATTTAAAACATAACAATTAGTGAGCCAGGCTTGTTTGTGCCCGGAGGGCTCAGGCAGAAAGATCACAAGATTCAAGTTCACTCTGGGCAACTTAGTGAGACCTTACTTCAAAATAAAAATATGAGAAGGGACTGGAGATGTAGTTCAGTTTGAATACCCTGGCTACTATCCCCAGTACTAAAAAAATGGTAATAATAATAATATTTAATGACATGATACTATTTGTGATTCATGATTTTAAAATAATCCACGTGAAAACTATAAGACCAAATATTTTGGGAGTGAAAGAAGCATTTTATTTTGTTTAGAATAGTTTTCTTTATAAAGGCAATTTTTAATGAGTTCCTTTTCATTCAGTATGAAACATCAGTAGAGGAAAATGCATATAATATGGAAATCTTACGAATTCCTATAGAAGATAAGGATTTAATGAACACTGCCAATTGGAGGGCCAATTTTACCATTTTAAAGGGAAATGAAAACGGACACTTCAAAATTATTACAGACAAAGCAACTAATGAAGGTATTCTGTATGTCGTAAAGGTAAGAAGAAATCATTAACTTAGCAACTTAACATATTTTTTGTCAACTAATGACTTAATAAACTAATTTCAGGTCATGGGCTCTACAGGATGAAAGACAACTTAAAACCTATTTAGTCTGTTCCCATCTAATGTTCATCTACAATTTGATTGCCAGTTCCTATGCTTCTAGGGATACATGAGCATTCTTTTTTCCCCACAATGTTCTCACATACAAGAATTCCTATATGACCATTGGCAGCTTATTATATGGAGAGTGCCAATTATTGGAGGGTCTTGCTTCTACTGTGTACAGGTTATTATCCTTATTCTATGTCTTTGGTCCTGATTCTACCTGTATTCTCTCTGTTTAGAATAGCTATAGTTCATTTGAGATTCTGCTGAGTCCATTTGAGACTACTTTCTCTAGGATATATTCCCTACCCCTTTAATCCTTGCATAATACACTTGAGAACTCCACAGTCTTCTTGTTCTCTCTAGAATATGTGCCTGGTTGTGTATGTTTCCTTCTAAGGAATTACCCTTCTAAGGGTAATTTTGAGGATGAAACCATATTACACCAGACAGCAATGAATAAACTTATTCTTTGTTCTATACACTAAATATTTGGTTTCATTATTACATCCTAGGCTTCCAATTATGAGGGGAAGATGGGGTTTATTGGAGAAGGACATTTGGTTTTATATTTCTAGACTAGAACAAAAAAGAATAGTGGGCAGGTATCGTGGTCATTCATGGAATAAAAGAGAATTACCTGTCAGTAATAACAAGTGGCATTTTTGGTGCATAGGACTATTTTCATTTGTTTCCTCTGTGAGAGTTTTCAGGGATTCAATACTATCCACATTCTATCCAGAATTCTAAATACCATCACACTCTATCCAGCCAGACACTCATAGTCAAATATAGAATCTCTACATCAAACTGCTACCTACGTCAGTACCCTATAATACGACCTGCTTGAATTGAACATTAATACTATAGCTACTGAAGAAGAAAGAGAAGGAGGAGCAGGAGAGCAGGAGCAGGGAGAGGAAGGGGGAGAGAGAGGAGGAGGAGGAGGAGAAGAAAATTTATCATTGAGAGTTAGAGGAAAGATCTTCCCTCTTTATTGGTCCACTCTTCATTCCAATTCTCCAAAATTGATGTGATTGCAAGACACGTTTTATAAATTTTTTTTTTTTCCTGGACATCCTTTTCTCTTCTACTCTGGCTATCCCCTCCAAAGTTTTAGTTTTGTTTTTGTTTCCTGGAAATAAGTCAAGGGAGTATGCTGAGACCAGGGATGGATAATTTACGCCAGTTGTACTAGCTTAAGCCAGCACTCCAAGTTTAGAACTTTTGGAGCCCTCCTTATCAGCTCCTTCATAGAAAGGCTACTCTGTAGGTTTCTCTCAGTCAAGGCCAGTCAGGGCTCATCTGGAGAAACTATATCAAGAATTCTGTTCTTATTTTTGAATCTCAATGGTTTTGTCTTAAGGAGGCAATAACACTAGAAATGAAAGTTTTATTTATTGTAGTATTGTGGTTTGATACAGTTTTTTTGACTAATACAAAATGATTTCTAAAAACATTTCAAAAGACTATATATTTTTTAAAAGCCTACTCACTGCATATACGTAAACATACTCACTATGTCTCTTTTTTTTTTTTTTCCCAAAGGAGTGCTGATCCTAGAGATATTAAACCTTTTTCCCCAGATGTCCATGGAAATTATAGCTTAGAGCCTGGAATGTTTCTCATTCCAAGTTGACTGATAACCATCAGTTTCATTTCTTGTGAGCACCTCAGGATTCCCCAGATAGACAACAATTAGATTATATGCTTTTGTCTATCTCTCTGGTTCAGTTTAACTGATTCTATAAGTGAAGGATATAAAAATACAAAATTTTTCTCTTTCCAGTAAAATCTATATACATTTATTTTTATTATTTTTAAATATCATATAGTTTCATTTATGTATAAAATTTTGAGGCTGGAATTGTAGCTCAGTGTTGGAGAGCATAACTAATAACCACAGTGTGCACACATGTGTGCACGCACACACACACACACACACACACACACACATGTCGTAGTTCTTACATATAGGAAATACTTTTAAGTATTTAAAAAATTTTAGAAGTAGTTACCAGAAACCAGGCAGATTGTCTGACACAGGAAATAATACTCAGCCCTTGATATAAAATATATCTAGTTATCACACCTTCTCTCTCTCTCTCTCTCTCTCTCTCTCTCTTTGTGCTGCTAGAGGTTGAACCCTGGGCCTTGTTCATGTCAGGCTAGAGCTCTGCCACTTAGCTAACTGAGCTACAGTCTCAGCCCTAGTTGTCACATCTCCTTTACGATAAAGTATTATTATCACCAGTATATAACAGTGGCAGGAACAACAACAATCATCATACAGTAATCATCATAATAATACAACCTAGGTGTGATGGAGGTACATCCTTCCCCCAAATAAAGAGCAATACTATATTATTCATCCTGGAATATAAATCCAACTTGTATGGCTCCAAAGTCAATGATCTTTCAGTTACATCATGCTGTGCCTCATTAACCCCAGATAGCAGTTCATAGTCAATATCTTGCAGTGTTGATTTGCTGCCTCTTATCATAGAATTCAATTACCCTTTCATGTTCATACTGTGATATTAAATCAACACGGATGTTAATGGGGCTGGACATGGTGGCACATGACTGTAATCCATCCACTTAGTGAGATCTTGCCTCAAAATAAAATAAAAGAGGGCTGCAGCTTTAGCTGTTTAAAGATTGGGGTGTAATCCCGAGTACCCTGAAACAACAACAAAAACAATAATAGCTAACATTTATTATCTACTAAATGCCAGATATTGTGTCAAGTGCTTAGCATGTAGTATCTCACTGGATTGTTTCAAATGTCATAGGTTATGTGTTGTTTAATTTATTAATAAATATGCCATGTATTTTTAATTTAAAGTTGGAATTAGCCACTTGTTATGGTTTAGATCCAGGATGTCTACCAAAAGTCTCATGCACTCAGAGGCAGGGTTTTGGAAGACGATTGGAATATGGGGGTGGGCGCTATTGCTGACTCGCTGTTACGCTGCTGGTTGGAGGAGGAGGTCACTGATGGTGTGACCTGGAAGGCTGCATCTCTCTCCGTGCTCCTCCCTTCTCTGCTCTGCAGCCTGGCCCCCATGATGTGGGCTCTCTTCCACTCCTCCATACCATTCTGCCTTAGAATCAGTAACCACTGACTAAAATGTGAGCCAAGATAAATCTCTCCTTTATGTTTCAGGTATCAGGTATTTTGTCCTAGTGATGAGAAAGCAGCACCTATTTAGAGAACCTAAAGTTTCAACCTAAACTATATAGTAAAAATAATCCCACTTTCATCCTGGCCTTCAAAACAGGGAAGAATCAATAAATGTTATTATTTTCTCATTTGCAAAGTATTTCATATAAAGCAAAATGTGTTTAAGTAATATTATCATGTTTTTTTTTGATCAAATATACTTGTCTTCATTTAACCTATCTCTGATATTTCACATTTACATAACATTTACATTTCACATTTTATTGTATGGACTTAGCACTTTTTTAACCTGTACGAATCTGTGGAAGTTTAGAACTTATTAGTTTATCTGTGAGGTCATTACGTATAGATGTAAATATTTTTGTTTCTCTCTCTCTCTCTCTTTTTGGTATTGGGAATCGAACTCAGGACCTTGTGCTTGCCAGGCAGGGGCAGCTCAACTGAGCTAAATCTCTGGCCCTATTTTTCTCATTGTAGCCATATAGTATAATAGTCATGGTTTGAACATCAAATATTTTTAATCATTTCCATATAAATGGAAATTTAGGCCATATCAATAGAAATTTTAACCTTTTTGTGATTTAAAAATATGCTAAAATGAATAACCATGTATATGTACCATTTACAATACACAACTTGAATGCATGATGAATTCCTAGAAGGGAATTGTTTAGTCAAGGTTATGACTATTTTTATGCTGTAGATTTATATTTTAATGTTATTTCCTGTTGAATGTTTTCTAATTTTTGCCTAAGAATTACATCCATATCCACAGATGAGATTTGTCTAATGTTTTACTCTTTTGTGCCATGGCTGTTAAATTTCGCTATCAATTTTATGTTTGCTTCATAAAAATAATTTATTTCCCCTCATCTGCCATGTTCTGAAATAGTATACAAATGCTCCAACACCAATGAATTAAAAGATTTATTTGATCTTTACAACAGTCCTTGGTGGTGTTACTGTTATTTCTTGCTATTTCCAATTAAGACAGCTGAGTGAAAAGGGCCTAATGTGCTGTAATTCACATAGCTAACATGGCTGCTTCCCCCGACCATCACCACACACATGCACACACTCGAACACACACACACGCACACACACACACACACACACACACACACACACAGGCAGTTGACTAAGGGTCCAGGACAGACAGCTCTGTTTAGACAGCCAGCGGACAAAACCCACCTGCCTGGCCCCAAACCTACTAACTCCCTGTGCTGCTCTTCCTTCTTGGTATCCTTGGTTCCCTTTTATCTCGTCTTTTCTGTAACTGGCTTGCATATTTGGGTAGATAAAGCAATGACTTCACTGGCACAAGGGGATCTTCTCTTATTAGAATTTTAATTTCTAAAAAGCTTTCTGAGCTTAATCTTACCTTTTATTTTGAGGCACTCATATTATTTATGAAGATTTTGATCAATACAGTTTATGTTTGCCATGTTACATCCTCCTTCCCATATTTAATGACAAATCTTAGGAAACCTAAAGCCATCACAGGGTGTTTTGGTGGCTTACCTACACTGGTCTTTGAAGGTATCCTATTCCTTTCTTGGCAAAATATTTCTGATTTTGTAGTTAAGTATTTTAAACCTCAATAAGGCATCTTCTGTTTTAAAATCAAATACAAAATTCACCTTTCTAACACATAGGCAATATACCCATGACGACTAAGCTCCTATCTGATAAGAGAATGATGCATTGTATTGACTAAAGGATTTCCACCCTTCCAGTGTCCTGTTATTCATTGTCTTCAGGGTTGTGTTCAGGAAAAGAGTTCACTCTTTTTCTCCTTTTACACCCTGAAGGATTAAATGATCAGTAAGGTAAATAGAGAATTCCTCAGGTATATATTTTTTTGGCTGATGAGTAAAATATTATTGAGTATATTATGAGTAATCATATTATTAGTGTTAAGTCTCATTGTTACAAAATTGCACAGAAAAGTCTCAGATTAAGAAGCTTTTCCAAATCACAGTGAGGATGTAGTGCAGAGAGCATTTGAACCTAGGTCTCTGATTCCAAGGACATGTTCTGAAGTGCTATGTTAAATTGCTTCACTTAGTCATGTGACCTTGGAAAGTTGGCTTCTGTATTATCTGTAAAATGGGAATAACTGCTCTCTGCCTCTCTACTATCGCTTCAGTTATAATAAAAGTGAAAACACTTAGAAAACTATTACTTTATTTTTAAAAGGTAGTACCATGTTCATGGGACTAGTGTTATACTTTTCCCTAACAGATTAAGGTTTCGGTCACCACAGAGCATGAGAGATGGGAGAGCCTTTAGTCAAGTCCTGGATGACCTCTCCATTTCAATCTTGGCAGAATCGCGGTGCCTATGGGCCCGAGTGAGGGTGGCACTGACCGTGGCTGTTCTCAGCATGCAGGCTGTCAGTTCCATCTCCATGACAGTCCATCTTCCTGGGAACTGTTAACTTCCCCGTGCATGTAGGGGGATCTTTGCCTTATTTTAAAAGGATGAAATAAAAACATACCACGAAAGCAAAAAAGAATTCACATCCGTTCAGTAATCATTGGCATTTCATTCTTCCAGATTTCTGATCTTTCAACATTTTAATCTCCTAAGGCAATATCATCCACTTTAAGTCTTGAAAAAATTGCACAAAGAAACTTTAAATCTTTAGTAAGCTGACCTGGATCTCGTAGCCATGTCTCCTTCAGTGCCACAGCTATACCTTGTATTTCCATCTGGGTGACACTTACCCTTCCTCTCTTCGTGGTTGTACCAATGCATGTCATTTGTGAGGATATGTTCATCAGCATCAAGTAGACAGATATTAATAGCTGTTCCTTCTTGATGCTCCAGTTTCTAGGATAATCATAAAAATAAAAAGATTCATGTACATTTTGTGGATTCTGAGATTCAAACATTTTCTTGACTTCTTAGAGGCCTTGTGATTATATTTGTATTTTGATTTGTTAATACCTACATGTAAGGACAGGTTTGAAGCAGTTTGATTCATCTGTTTTGACTTCAGTCAATACTTAGCCAGTGATTGTTTCAAGAAGCAGAAAGAGAATGTGAGAAAATGCACTTCAGCTGAAAATTAAATTCAATTAAATATTGATTAAAACATTTTCAAGGCAGCTCAGCACAGCAGAGGAATTTTGTTGCGCTGGTTAAGCAGGGGGTTTTAGGCCAAAGTACCTAACCTCAAACTCTGGCTCCAATGATTGGATTTAGGAAAAATCAGTTTATCCCACCCTTTCCAGTTTCCTGCTCTGTAAGATGGGAATGATAACAGTCACACCCACCTCATAAAGGTGGGAAGGTTTCGAGAATTTATCTGCCCCGCTCATGGCAGGTCTGTTTATCTAAAGATGATTATCATGAAGCACATCATATTTCTCTTCCTCCTCTGAGCTCCCACCATGAGAGTTCCATCGGATAAACTGTAGACTAAGTGTTATTTTCAGGTTGCCAGAAATGTGATTTTCATAGCAATAGGCAGCGAGCATGGTTAAAACTTTTACTTAACTCATTCATGAAGAAACCGGCAAAAAGACAAGTTGATTCTTAAAGAAGTGAGACCTTGGATGGATTTTGATGAAAGGAAAAGCTAAAATGAGATGGCTCACGTAGATGCTTTAGAGGATAATTAAAGGAGATATTTGGACAGAAAAGTTGGACAGAAAATAAAATTACTGCACTTTTTTCCGTTTTGAAGCCTAACATCTGACTTTACAGGAGTTGTGAAACGCCTGGGCCATAAGTCACAGTAAATAGTTAAAGTTGTCTTCTTACAGAGAGTTGGGTGATCCTTAGGCCAGCCTGTTACACATTGTCATTGTTTCGCCATATTCCTGTGTTCAGGATAATTTTCCTCGGTAAGAATGAAATATAAACTATCTCAGGAATTTCTTTCCCACCACTCTGTAAAACCACCTGCAGAGGGTTTGGGGGGCAACTCTCACTAAAGGCTCCATAGCGAAGGATCGCCTTTGTCCTTGCAAGGAGTAAAGTCATTAGTGACAAAATGTGAACATAATTTATGCAAGCCAGTTCATTTTGACAGCATTCACTTGCTGCTTGAAATATCAAATGTGTTTTATACTGATGTTTTACATGTCCTTCATTTTAAAGCCACTGAATTATGAAGAAAACCGTCAAGTGATCCTAGAAATTGGTGTAAACAATGAAGCTCCATTTACTAGAGAAGTAACCAGAGTGACTTCCATGAACCGAGCCTTGGTTACAGTTCATGTGAGGGATCAGGACGAGGGGCCCGAATGTGATCCTGCAGCTCAATATGTGCGGATTAAAGAAAACTCAGCAGTGGGGTCAAAGGTCAATGGTTATAAGGCATATGACCCTGAAACTAAAAACAGCAATGGTTTAAGGTACAAAGAAAGATATAACCATATATTAATAATGGATTGGTCACATTTGATCTACTTATTTTAAAATATGATACCAAAGACTATTTTTATTTTTATTAACAGATATAAAAAATTGCATGATCCTAAAGACTGGATCAAAATCGATGAAACTTCAGGGTTGGTCACACTTTCCAAAATCCTGGACAGAGAAGCTTCAGCTCCTCAGAATGACTTCTATAATGTCACAGTCCTGGCAATAGACCAAGGTAAAAAAAAGTTTTAATCTAGCTCTTTATGAAGGAATGGGAGAATAAATTGATGTAGTTTTCATTACTCTTGTGATAAGTATGTGGAGCTCTTTGAAATTACTTTAGAGACTCTCTTCCTGCCTCTCTTAACCATCGAGCAGGGTACAAGTGATTGGCAACAAGGGGCCATCTCTTGTTTATCTTTATTTTCCAAGCACGGAGGACCTTAAGTGCTTCTGCAGTAAAGGGCAAAGACAAAACTGAAACATAGGAGTAGATGAAATGGTCTCCTCCGATGTTTCCAGTCTCTTTGTACCTCTCTCTAATTAAGCCTATAAATATATTCACTAATTACTAGGTCAAAGTGATGCTTTTGTTCATTTCTGTACCTTAAAGTAACTCAGTCAGGCATTCTGGGAAGTTTGTAATCCCAGCAGTCCAGGAGGCTGAAGCAAAAGGATCACAAGTTTGAGTTCAGTGTGAGCTGAATTTAGCTTTTTTTTTTTTTAAGAGCTAGGAATGTAGCCCTAAGTGCAATCCCTAGCACTTCAACGACACCAAAAAAGTAACCTAGATTTTTCTCATCCTTGCCTTCATATTAAAATAAGAGAATCAATATGGGACACTACTTTTGACTGACTCAGAATCTCTGGTAGAGCCTAAGCACTATATATTCAAAAAATCTCCCCAGGTGGTTTGAATGTGCAATGGGATTAGAATAATTTTTCACAACCACTTCACTGCTATAACCTCAGCTTCAGGAACTCCAGGGAATAGAGAGTTTGCAATCCAGACCTTCATTTTCTTCATTTGGTAGTAGTTCTGGTAAAGGATTTGTTGAAACTTTCATCTGATATATACATATCTATCTATCTATCTATCTATCTATCTATCTATCTATCTATCTATCTCAATAGCAGTAATCACTTTTTATTATCTGCAAATCTTATCCACTCATATTCTCATTCATTTTTCTCCAACACAAAGTTTATTTTTAAGAAAACTTATATATCATGCAGATTTTAATTGTTTTTCCTTTAAGAAACTATAAAAAAAAATGTGAAAGCAGTACAAAGCCCGTTCTTTTCTTTTTGTAGATGGTAGATCATGTACTGGAACACTTGTTGTGAAAGTTGAAGACGTGAATGATAATGCACCAGATATACTTCAAGATTATGTCGTCATTTGCAAACAAAAGATGGCGTACACCGACATTTCAGCGTCTGACCCTGATGAAGCGGTCCACGGAGCGCCATTTCATTTCAGCTTGGCAAACCCCTCTCCAGAAGTCAATAAAATATGGACTCTCAACAGAGTTAACGGTATTCAATAAAAAAATGATTTCCATGCTCTGAAATAACAGAAAAGTGACAGAATAGATTACCTGTTTATGTACACAAAATATAATTCAAAATTGATTTTTAGGGGCCGGGGATTCAGCTCAGTGGTTCGGTGGCCTGCCTTGCAAGCGCAAGAACCCGAGTTCAATCCCCGGTACCAAAAAAAAAAAAAAAATGATTTTTAGAAGTTTAATCCTTTATGTCATATGGTGACTGCATTTACTTTATAAATAAAATAAAAGAAATCAAAACTTTTCTGGAGGCAAAATTTATGTTTACAACAAAGACAAAAGTCTTTGTTAAATATTGGACAACTTGTTAAGAGAAACTTTTTTGTCTGTTTGAAAACGTAGTAACAGTAACAGTAAAGTAGAGGGGATCCAAGTGCGTCATTTAAATGTGTTGCGAACAGGCTCTCCAAGTGAGGAATCTGGGTATATGAGAAAAACATGCTCCAGTATCCTGAGCGGGAACATGGCAGGATATGGAAAGGGGCCTGGCACTGGAGCTTTCCGGGTGGCTCCACTGACAGCAGTTTTGAGAGGATGTAGTATTCTACATTTCATCTCACTCAATGGTTTTATTACTGTCACACTCTTCACACAACTGGACTTTTGCGCGTGCTGCCCCTTCTTCATAGAATGCCTCATTTCTCATCTTATTTTGATATTCACCATCTTTTTGGTTACCTTTACATACCTATTCCATAGCCTCCCTCGTCTTGCGTTATCACCTGTGTACTTCTCTTCCCCAACGCGTTTCTCAGAACATTTGTCATCCTTCTATTTCTAGTACCTAGCCTGTGCCTAGTAGATACTGCTTAAAAGGTGTATAATGAATATTTGCTCAAGAGAGATACATAAAAGAAGAGACACACTAGAGAAATTGGTATATTGGTACGAATTAGAGTTTAGAAAGTTGCTGTAGGAGTGTTGAGGGCTTGGGTGGGAGGAAGTGTGAAATCTCAGGGTAAAGAACCTCAAGTGCCAGGCCAAGGAGAGTGACCAGTGCACTGCAGGTGACAGTAAGCATGGATTGAGGATATGCAAGGAAGGCCACGCTATTTGTGAGTTTATGTCGCGTAAAGTTAACATTGGTATCAGCAGAAAATTTGAAGAGGGCGTGCTGAGTGCTAAGGAAAATGCGAGGCAGCTGTTGCTCAGCAGGTGGTCTTGAAGGAGAAAAGGTATTTAAAATCTTACCTTAGACGTTTATGGTCCTGAAGGGCCCCATATGAACCCAAGCAGTCATTCATGTTCCTCTGTGAGGCTTTCAGGTATGAAGTACAGCAAACATTGTTGAAGTTCTTCCAGCTTAACAGTGCATTTAATCAAGGCTTAGCAATTCCAGGTGACTTCCAGTGTGTGCGTGATGCTACTTTGTGATTTTATTCAGCCTATTATAAGAAGTCAAGGAGGTTGTAATTGCCATTTAAAGTCTATGGAGCTCTTGGTTAGCTGAGAATAACATCATTAAAATAAAGTAGCAAGCCTATCGGGGAAAGTTAACTATCACAGTGGATAAAAACAAATTGTTTTGATGTCAGTGTATCCACTTTTTTTTTGGTAAGCTTTACAAGTAGCCTGAGTGATATACTTAGCTTTCTGGTGTTGAGATTACTTGCAGATGCAGGCATTAACCATAAAGATCTATTGGGTGCTTTGAAAAATTTCTTTATCCATAAGGATAATGGACAGATAGCAGAAAGTAAATGGATAAGAGACTTGGAATTGAAGTCATCCTCTGTGTGTACCTATAGGTGTTAACTCTTTATGTGTGTATGAACTGGTACCGAAGGAAGATGCTTGAGCTGTCTGTTGCCAGTCTAGCTGTATTAGTTTCTATAGGAAAAGGAACAGTAAATATTTCTGGAATGCTGCTGGACCACTTCAATGCTAAATTATTTCTTTAAGGCTTCTTTCTAGGGTTATAAAGATCAATATGTATAACATTATATGAGTGAAAGGGTTAAAGATAGTCTTCCATTTGCATTTATTTTCATGTAGCAGGGAATTCCTTGAGACCTGTGCATGTAGAGACAAGTATGATGAAATAGATGCCAGTGGAAGACTAACTGGTCTTTTAGAAATGAAATTATTTCATTTTTTTACAGATACAGCTGCCCGTCTGTCATATCACAAAAATGCTCAACTTCAAGAATACACAATTCCTATTACTGTGAAAGATAGAGGAGGCCAATCTGCAACCAAAATGTTGAGAGTCAACCTGTGTGATTGCAATTTCCCAAGTCAGTGCGTCTCAAAGGCGAGGAGCTCAGGAGTGGTGCTGGGAAAGTGGGCCATCCTCGCCATACTCCTGGGCATAGCACTGCTGCTCTGTAAGTACTTCTGCTTACTTGGAGTTAAGGTGCAAAATCAGAGTTCAGTCAAGAAAGGATCTTTAAAAAGTCAGCTTGTTGAAGCATTCATCAGGTGTGAATTCTCTTTATGAGTTCTTCTGGTATTTGAAATATGTTTGAATGTTTTCTGAAACATGATCCTTTTTTTGTTTTTTTGGGTACCAGGGATAGAACTTGGGACCTTGTGCTTGCAAGAGAAGCGGCGGAACCCACTGAGCTAAATCCCCTGCCCTAGCATGATCCTTCTTGAGATAGAAATTTCATATCTAAATAGAATTATTGAAAATTCCTTAGATTGCACCAAATCCCCCTATATATATAGCTTTTATTTTTTGATCTTAGTGCTACTACTTTTAGGGCAAAATAGTGCAGTCTAAGATTCCTGCAGTATCGGGGTCTAGTAAAAGCAACTTTTATTTCATATCTATTCACTTTTTTGTTTGATTGTTTGTTTGTTTGTTTTTGTACTTTTTTTTTTTTTTGGTACCGGGGATTGAACTCAGGTCCTTGTGCTTGCAAGGCAGGCTGTTTTTGTACTATTAATCGAACATGGGGCCTTGCACTTGAGAGGCAGGCAGTGGAACCACTGAGCTAAATCCCCGGCCCTCTACTCACTTTTTCAGCAACAGATTTGTGAGAAATGTTCAGATCACAGCAATATCCTATCTTGGGTATATATTGCTCATTCTGATTTATTAGCTCCTTGCCATTGTACGTTTCCCAAGTGATCATACCCCCCCCACCCTCTCTAGCCCTCTATCCCAAATTTGTTTTGTTGTTTGATTGGAGTAGTGACTAAGAGCAAGACTCTGGAACCAGGCTGCCTGGGTCTGGATTCCACCTTTATCACAAGCCATAGGACTGGGCCAGTTACTTGACTGAGCTTCATGTGTAAAAGGGGTAGCCTGCTCTCTGAGGTAGCACTCAGGATTGAGTCATTGTGTGTGAAATGCTTAGATGAGAGCATGGTAAATTTCTAATGTGTCCGCTATTTTTTACCACCCCAAAAAATAAATATATATTAAACATCTTTTAATTGCCAGAAACTGTTCTAGGCACTCGGAATTTGCCATAGAAGAAAAATGATAAAACTAAAACAAGTATGCCCTTTGACACTAAGTGAATAAATTCTTTGATGGAAAAAAAATGGAGCAAAATAATTAAGTTTTTTTGTGCTGTAGAGTGTGTATGTGTGTGTTCTTGGTGCTGGTGTTTGCAGTTTTCAGCAGGTGCCTAGATTGGGCCTAAATAAGGAAACTATCTGCTGTGAGTTTTGGACAGGTGAGAGCATCTTACCTTGTGAAATACCTGGTAGGAAGAGCTTTCATTTGGAGGGTGAAGTCAGTGCAGAGGTTCTAAGGTGGAATCATATATGAAGAAATCAAGGACTGATGGGAAGACTAGTATAGCTAGACAGTAGTGGTGAGGGGAAGTGGACTAGGAAACAGAGCCAGGAAGGTAGCACATTGAGTAGGTGATGTTTAGCACACGTTTTCTGTAAGGCACCATGCAGTACATATTTTAAGCTTTCCAGACCATGTAATTTCTGTTGTAACCAGTCAAGTAGGCCCTTGCAACAAGAAAGCAGCCATAGAAAATGGGAAAATGAAAGGCTTAGCTATGTTCCAGTAGATCTTTAGATATGGATGCTAAAATTTGAATTTCATGTCACTAACTATTACTATTCATCTTTTGATTTTCTCCAACCATTTGGAAATATATTATGATTTGTTTTTTGGTACTGGGGATCAAACTCAGTACCTTGTGCTTGCAAGGCAGGCAGTGGAACCACTGAGCTCAATCCCCAGCCCTCATTTGGAAATATAAAGTATTAGCTCATGAGCCATATAAAAACATGGTGGGCTGGATTTAGGACTGTGGTTTGCTCATCTGTTACAGTGTCTTGTAGAATATTGTAAAGAACTGTTGCTATTAGTGTTGGTTTTATTGTAATATATTTTACCCTACCACAATTACAATATAGAATGAAAATTCTCAATGGACAAGAGGCAAACTAAGTTTAATTAACATTCCTGGAGATAACTCTACCTGAGAAAAGAATTTGTTATGTCATGTTTTCTTAGAGGCAAGCCATCCTTTAGTGACTCAGTAAATCTCTTTACCATCTTTGTCTTAAATGAATATCATGATTTATTACATGTAGTAATTAATTCTAATTTTAAATATTTTAACATTATGGGCAGCTCCTTAAACAGAGAGGTAAATTATAAACATGCACATCTAATCACTTCACATTTTAAAATCTAAGCTAAACTACAGCCTGCTAATTTAGAAAGGCTGAGATAATTCATGGGAAACTATGCTTCATGGCTTAATTTAAGCTTAGTGGCTTAATTTTTCTCCCTTAGGCTATAAGAAATAAAGGACAATTATTTTGTTCTGTGCATGCTAACGAAAGTTTTTTTTTTTCTTTCTAAACTCAGCTGTACTACTAACTTTAGTATGTGGAATTGTTAGTGCCAGAAAAGGAAAACATTTTCCTGAAGATTTAGCACAGCAAAACTTAATTATATCGAATACAGAAGCGCCCGGAGATGATAGAGTGGTAAGTAATTTTTTTGGTGAATATTTCTATTGCCTTTGATTTTTTAAAAAACTTATTCTTCTGAAGTCATTTAAAAATTTGGGGGTTAATTTATATTTTGGTTAGGTCATATTTTGTAGGCATAAATACTTGACATGTTAATATTTAGATTTTTAAAAATGTAGATTTTATTAAGATATTGAAACCACATGCATAGTTTTAATTCTAGGGATTTTTTAGTCTTTTAGCATTATGATTTAAAACTTGTTTTTTTGACCTTGCAAGTTTTTGTGGCAGTAATTTTTGGCTGACTTTCTGCAATGTACATTTCCAGATATCATTTCTCTAACTCTCTGGCCATCCATAATAGGGAAAATGAAGCTTTCTAAACGTTTTCAAGGCAACTAGAAAAACAGCAAAGATATGAACATAACAAAAGGGTGGGATTTTGGAAGGATTCTGCCACTCTCTTTCCTTATGGCTCCATGCTTGTTGTTTTGTGGGAAAAATACAAAAAGTACTGACAAGGCGTGTCTCTCTTACAAAATATTTCAGTTTATCATTAGAGTCATTCATAGTAAAATGGATGCATATTGAGGTCATACTCTTAAGTGAAATACGCGAGTCACATATGTGTAAATACCAAATAGCTTCTCTGCTGTGAAAAACTAAAAGTGTAAATAAGATCCTAATGGTATAATTGACAATGTGAAATAGGAAGAAAAGGGCTAAAGGTGTAGGGGAAGTGGAAAGGGTAGGGGAAAGAAAATAAGGGAAAGAAAAAATATGAGACAACGAAAAAATGGAAACAAAGTTTTTGTAAATAGGGAAGGGAGGAGGGGGTGAAGGGAGGGCAGGGTATGGGGAAAAATGAAAACCAAGATCTGTCATGTAAAGGTACAGGATCTCAGTGAGGAATGGAACTGTACTGTCTACCTAAAATGTACCAATAAACTCAATGAGGAAAAGAAAAAGAAAAAAATCAACAAAAATATTTCAGTTTCTTTATGGGAAATAGGATTTACTTTTGTGGAAAAGATTAATAGTAATATGACAATAAACTCGTGTAATAGTATTAAAGTTTAAAGATACATATAAAATAAAAGCACACTCACAAGATTCAGATCCACTGGGAAGACTTACAGCTTAATCTGTAAGAAAAAGAAAGAGACCTGTAAGTTCCCGTGTAACTTACAAAATGAGGAGGGTCCGAAAGTGAAGAGGTGGTGACAGTAGCTCGAGTGGAGGAAAGCAGCCTGCAGAATAACAGAGACGATGACAAACTTTGGGGAGCATCCGGCAGAGAGTGGGGAAATTGCTTTGGAGTGGAGGGAACTGGATGAGGAGAGGCTCTGAACACAAGTCAGGCGGTGGGAGAGAGGGAGGATCTGTGAGCGATGCGGAAGGAGATCCCCTCGCACCCAAACCAGGGTGTCCTCCCGGGCAAAGGACTCAGCCAGAGTGCTCGGTCACTCCCGATGCAATGCCGCTAACATGGTGGGCTCAGAGTCATCAATTTTAGTTTACTTTTAGTTCCCCTTTCAATAATGCAGAAATACATCTCTCTCTCTCTCTCTCTCTCTCTCTCTCTCTCTCTCTCTCTCTCTCTGTCTCGCTATCTATAGATAGATAGGTACCATCAAGGAGATTCAGTAATCAGGAGTGTGCTTTTTTTGTTGTTGGAGAATTTTACTGGACCAGCAACCTAAGTAAATATATAAATATAGGGTAGCAGTGCCACCAAATGGCTACTTCTCCATTCTTTTCTTCGGATTTTTTCCCCCCTTAAGCAATGAACTAGCACGTATGACTTTTGTACATAGGTTTGGGGTTTGGTAATTCATCTGAACCTGAAAATCTTCCAGTTTGGTGAGAAACTCTTCTACCTCTCAAGGAGGAGAAAAATGAAATTGGCGAGAAGACAGCCCAGTGAAATTCTGTTTATAAGGGAGTTCTCGTGACGAGGCAGTGCAGTGGACTATCCTGAGGACAGGCCACCTGAGGTCATTGCTGCGACTGAACGTTGACCTATAGCCTGGAGTGTTGTCATAAACTTCCAGTGTTGAGTTAATGCTTAATCAACCCCTTCTCATTTTAAAGCATTCCCTTGACCCTCTCCCCTCCAGTCCCCTCTGTGCATTTCTTGTTCTTTGAAAACGAAGTCCAGGAGCCTTGACACAGCCCAGGTCCCTCTGCACACTGACCCTCCTGCATGCACTCCGACTGCTCTTGAGTCCCTCAGCTCAGGGCTTTGCAGTTCACCCCACTCATCCCTTCTGGGTTTGGATTTTACTGTTCCACGTCTGTGCTCCTCTATAGAATTCCGTGTTCACCTGTATAGCAGAGAAGTTACATTCGCAAAAGAATCCTGTTTCTCTGCTTCACTGGAAGGAGAGCTTCTTGGAGCCTCGGTGTCACCTCTGTATCCCTGTGCATCTGCACCTGAATACATAATTACAAGCTGAAAATTGTCTGTTGAATGAATGAGGGAATGAATAAAAGGCTGAATAAATGATCTCTCTTCCTTGCCTTCTCGTGGCTCTGAAACCCATTCCCTCTCCACACGAACAGTTTTGTATTGTTATTGTGTTGTGTTGCAGTGTTCTGCCAACGGATTCACAACCCAGACTGCCAACAACTGTAGCCAACGCTTTTGCGGCACCTTGGGATCCGGAGTCAGAAATGGAGGGCAGGAAACCATAGAAATGGTGAAAGGAGCACAGCAGACCCTGGACTCCTGCCGGGGGGCCGGGCACCACCACACCCTGGATCCTGGCAGGGGAGGAGGACACGCGGAGATGGACAGCTGTCGCTACACCTACTCCGAGTGGCACAATTTCACCCAGCCCCGACTCGGTGAAGTGAGTTTCCCTAGCTGTTTTAACTCTACCGAAGAGGGGTAGGAACTTGAAATTAATGTACATTGTCAGAGGCTGTTTTCCCATATTGTTACATTTTTTCCTCAGTCATTTTTAAAGTTATATTACTTTATTACATTATTTAATTTAAAATAATTTAATGTCCTGTGCTATATTTCTTTAGTTTCTAAAGCCCTATAAAATTAGAGGTTTCCAATATCCACCATTGTAGTTTTGTTTTTAGGTGTGTGTTTAACTTGCGAAGTCTTTTCATATAGAAAAATGTAAAAAAACCTAGCTTATTCCTGTCATAAATTTCTCAAATCTGTTTTTCCCTATGAAAATGAAATCATTTCTATAAAATTTTAGGTTAAAGACTAACATGATTTATGTGAAATATTTATGTTTTGTTGGTTTGTTTATTCAAATTGATAAATTATAATTGTATATATTTACTCACATGTGGAATAGTAAGTGATATTATAATGTATGGATATAACGCAGAATTATTAACTCATGTTCAAACTTTAAGGATAAAACATTTGAAATTTACTCAGAAATTTTACAATATACAAAAAACTACTACTAATTAAAGTTATCATTACGTAAATATTTTTAGCACTGAAAGCCCCATGCAAATAAATATAAAATGTTTTTATCTAGAAGAAAGCAAGAACATAAAAAAAAATAAAGAATAGGATTCTAGGTCCATATCAAAATTCCTTAGGAAGATTCTAAAAAATGCAAATGTCTGTGCTTCATCTTAAAAGAATTTAATTTGATTGATTTTTTTTTTTCTAAAAATTCTCAGGTGATTCAAATGTGTAGTTAGGATAAAAAGCCACCTAACTGAATATTCTTGTAGGTAAAATTTTCACCTCTTTATGAGAAATACCAATGCGATTTTTCCTTGGATGGATGGCTAACGTGCCGTATTCTGTGACAGGGCTATAGGTTATTACATAGCATACCTGTAACATTTTCTTTGGTCACCTTCAAGTGTTACTCCTTTATCTATTTTTAGACAGCGTTCATGTAAGATCAGGCTGTAAAGGAGTGAAGTTTAAGACACCTTCTTAGGAGGGTTCCTGAGTGTGCACATCTGACACCGGGACTGGTGCCTGGTAAGGGCTTAGGAAGGGTCTGAGGAAAGACACCTGGTAACATAAGTGAACTGGGTAAACTCTGGCCCGGGGGAATAAACTCACAAAGGACGAAAAGGAGGAGGCACAGAAGCTCAACAAGTCTGCAGATGACGCAGTGAAGCAAAGGTAGATATACTGAGTGCTTGGGTTCTTCATCACAAAGACTCAGCTTTCTCCATGGGAGTTGTATCGATTATTTTTTACTTTCAGTAATTCATTTTTTCATGCGTATATTTATTTTGATTTGTTTTGGCTGTATTATAAACTTGATTCTGAAGCTAACATGGTGATTATTACCTGCCTTGCAATTGTATATAATGGTTTTAGTTAACATTTATTGTAGATTTACTAGGTTTATTTTACATGCGTTATTGTTTCATCATTAATTTCTAAAGTAAAATAGCACTGTGAGAAGGTTACTGTTGCTATTCTCATTTTAGATTTGAGGAGAATGAGACTTAGGGATCCTTAGTAATTTGCCCAGGTTCATAGATCTAGTTGCTAGAGCCAGAACTCCAGCTTGAAACTTAGGGCTGTTTGACACCCAAGTTCAAATACCAACCACTGTGCAGTGGAATAGCCTGACTTCTGGCTATAAAATAGTTCATAAGTTAAATACATAACATTGGTATACATAAGATTTCACTTGTATAGATTGTTAGAAGTTTAACATAGACTGACTTTATGATATGGTTGTGATATAGACCAATCGTGTGCATTTTTTGTGTGTAGGACTCCATTAGAGGACACACTGGTTAAAATTAAACATAAAAGGTAAATAAAAATAAATTTTATGTTCATATGTTTAAGTTGTTTAAAACAATAATACAATCCTTTTTAAAAAACGACTTTGCAGAAGTTGCACATGTGTAACCAGAACGAAGAGCAGATGCCATCACAAGACTACGTGCTCACGTACACCTACGAGGGAAGGGGGTCTCCAGCCGGCTCTGTGGGCTGCTGCAGTGAAAAACAGGAAGAAGACGGACTTGACTTTTTAAATAATTTGGAGCCCAAATTTCTTACATTAGCAGAAACATGCACAAAGAAATAATGTCTCAGCTGCTGCAGTTAGACGTTTCCTTGCCAGTGGTTCTGGAGGTTTCCAAAAATGATATTGTGAAATGTAATTACAACTTGTATATAGATGGTCCCTGACTTAACGATGGGTTGACTAATGACTTTTCATTTTTACTGCAATATGAAAATGATACACATACGGGAGAAACTACTTTGAATCTTGAGTTTGGGTCTTTTTCTGGGCTAGTGCTGTGCTGTGTAATATTCTCTTGCAAAGCTGCTGGAGCTACAGCTCCCAGGCAGCTGTGGAATCATGAGGGGAAATAAATCATACCCTACAGTGTACTGTGTGGCTAAGCTATGATGTCCAGTAGGTTAATTTTATTAAATGGGCTTTCAATTTATCAGATTTTAATTTTACAAGTGTTTTCATGAGATGTAACCCCATCATAAGTAGAGGAGCATCTGTATATAGAATAAATTTTTCTAAATTTGTAATTATGCCACTTACCAATTCATGCTTTTAAATTTTTTTGCATATCTTTTACAGTGAGACAAGATAGACAAGTAGCCAATTCCATCCCATAGTACTAGAATTAGGGTCCACAGAGGATCTGCTCTTCTTGAAAGATATTTTCCTAATGTGTTGGGTAAATACTAGTCCAAAAAATGTCTTCACTGTGGTAATAGCTATGATATACTCGCTTCAAGGGCCAGTTATGAAACAGATAAATATTAATTACCACTGTTTGAAGACAGTTTTAGGAAAGAAAATATTTGAGACTGAATTAAATCAAACAATTTTGCAGCTCTGAAGAATTGGTACCAGCCCTAGACCCAACCTCACTATCAAATTTCTCATCTGACTTTGAAAGCAAAGTTTCTTTAGGAGCAGTATTGGAAATGAATGTATATGTAAACTTATTGTATAATTGTAAAATTACTCTGCAAGTGTATAAAAGTATTAATCAATGAAGCATTTGAAATGAAATGAAAATGAGGAGACATAATTTCCAGGGAGCCCAGGTGTGGTTTATCCTATAGTAGAAATCCAGGGCTTGGGAAAGACAAAGCTTCCTGTGCCTCGTTCTCATATACTGCTTCATAACCGAACTTAGCAGGAAGTAGTTCATGTCCTCTCGGAAACAAATTACACCTTTCTGTTGTAAGTGAGAAAGAAATAGGGAACCCGAGGAGACAGTACATTTGCTTTGCAGTCTATTTAAAGATTTCTGAATCCACAAATTAGAAGAAAGCTGAGGGAAGGCGCATTACAGATAGGACTCCTAGCTTCCTGAGGGCAAAGTTCCAGAGATGAGGTATTTTTCTTGGGAGCTAATACTAAAAACTTAAAAAAAAAATCTTTTGAAATTAAATCCTCTATTACCATTTTCTTTCTCTCTCCTATATGTGAACACAATTTTTATTTAGAGCCGAATAACTATGTCTTCTCAGTCAGTATAGAGGCTACATGGGGTGGGGAGGCAAACTACTGAAACCATTGAGTGGGGAGTGACTGTTCTTAGGCTGAAGTCCACAGACCGACCCTGCACACATTGTGTTGTAACCAGAAGCTGGCAACTGCAGAACGTCTTTTCTCACCTCACTGTCCTGTTTTAAAGTGGCCTTGCATGGTTCGAGGAAAGCCAGTCTTGTTGGCCTCCTCCTTTCATGTCCTTGTCAACATTGTCACAAGACCCCCAGCAGTGATCCACTTAAGGTGCCAAATATGTCAGATGTTCGCAAGTACTGCAGTGGGAATTAATTTCTGTCAATTTGCCTTGTTATATGGAATTTAAAGTTAGGAGAAGAAATGGGAATTTAAAATGCGTGAAAGAAAGCGATCAAGTTGTCATTTTAGAACATGAGGAGAGGACAAGTTTAAGAAATCAAATCATCATTTTGGGAGAAGGCAAGCTTGAGGGCCAGGGATTTAGCTCAGTGGTTCTGCCACCTGCCTTGTAAGCACAAGCACCTGAGTTCAATCCCTGATTTTTTTTTTTTTCCCCACCGAAAGGAAACAATTGGAAGAGGGCAAGCTCACCTGGGACAGTCAAGGAGTGACATGAAGACTCAGGTGTTGAAGGGCAAGGAGAGAAATCGGTGAGGCTAAGTGGGTAGCAGTGAGGGCAATGTTGCACCTGCTTCATACTTTGTAGAGCCGGCCCTGCCTTAGCCTTAATTTCGGAAGTCAGTGCAGCTGTCCTTGAATTTTGGGGCGCACCAGCCCATCCCTGATGTCTTCCTTTCCTTATTTCGAATGTGGAATCGGAAAAGGGCTGCCTGCCTGATGAGTCTAAGGCATTCAGGATGGGCCTGAACTGGCCTTGCAGCAAAACGAGGCATTCGTGAGGAAAGCTTCACTCCTTTGGTAGCAGTTTAGGTGCTAAGAAAGTCTTCAATTAAATGTGTGCATAAAATTCTGATTTGATTCTGCATTTTCTATTTTTTTCCTTTTTTCTGAAATCTAGGGATTTTTTCAGACTTACACTTTTAAAAGTCATTTCCTTTTGAAATTCTTCTAATTTTAATGTAATAATTTTAACATATAGTATTGTTCTTTCCTCATTTGTATAAGGTGAAAATTATGATTTTAGCTTGTAAGAACATGTCTTTTTAAAGCTTTCATTTTTTTATTGTGGTGAATGATCTTGGGTTTTATATCTAAATGTACAGTTTTTTTCTTTCATTTATAAAGAAGTATTAAGTGTCTAAAATATAGTAGTTTTTGTTTTTCAGTGTTTTACACAGAGCTTTAATTTTGCCATGAAAAGAAGTTTCTTTGCAGGTTAAAAGAAGCAAAGAACTATGTGTAAAGTAATACACACGTAGAATGTAATAAAACGATGTTAACTTGATTTCTTGTCTTTCTTGTACTTAGAGCTTAAATGACCAAAAGTATTATATTGCACATCTGTGCTTTAAACTAGCACAAAAATAGAAATCCTCAAGAGAGTCTTTCTTTTGTTATTGGGGAATACTTTAGAGAATGGGTTATTATAAAATTGTCAACACCAATACCATATACTATTGGTGAGAGATCGCTATTTTGACACACAGCTTTACGAATGAGTATCTCTTTGTGTGTGCATTTATATTGGATTGCAGTTTGGTGTGAAAAATATTACAAGGTGGTTGTGAATTCAGAAAGTTCCAGAAATAGTACAATATAGGAATTTTATCTGAGGAGTAAGTCATTCAAGGGAAAATGTTGTGAGTATAAAACACAAGAAACAAAATAATAAGCAATAATCTAATCTTGGTTCTGCCACCTATAAGACAGATAATATCTAAGTTTTAATCATCAGATGATCCAATCAAATAAGGTGGTATGTACTTCATGGTTCATCTTTCCCCCGTGTGTGCATGTGTCCCTCCCATTGGCAAAGCTCTCTGTTAAAAAAAATCTACCAGTTCTATCAAATGCCTCGAATTTTAGTATAAAATGAACCACAATTTCAATCGCAGGGACTTTTATTATGACCCATATTTTTGTGTGTATTGGGCTTCAGGAACATTCACTGGAGCTTTGTTTTTAGCAGCAGAACATATAGATCCCAAGCATCCAGTAATATTGATCTGCTTAACTATGAGGGCAAAATGGTAGAGAACAGACCCCAAAGTCAGAAAGCTTGGACATAAATTCTGGATGTGCCATTCACTACTGCATGATCTCAGAAAGGCTGCATAAACAGGGAAAAATAAGAACCTGATAAGTCATGTATAGGTGCAAGAGCCCAGTGATGACTGTAACTGTATTGTATACCTAATATTTACCAAGAAATTTAATAAAGATAAAAATGAAAGAAAAGGCTGCATATCGCCTGTCTTAGTTTTCTCATCTTTATAATCATAATAACCACATCAACTTCATGGGGTTGTTGAGATGATTAAATTAGTTATTATATTCAAATCACATAAAAGCTTGCATGCACCTAGTAAAAAAATTGTATTAGGTACACAGTCAGTAAAATTATGAAACTTTTGTTCTGCAAAGCAGCATCTCATCTCTTTTTAGGGTAAAAGTATCTGTGCTTATTTAGGAGAAAAAGACTGGAACAGATTCTTTCCAGATAATGAAATTATAACTGATTCATGTTTTCTACGTTCATTTTCTATAATGAACATTAATATATTAAAATTTTTAAAGAGAGATGGCGACCACCATAAATTGCTTTTCAGCTCTCCACTTATTTAGAATTAGAATTGGTTGTTTGGATGGAAAACTTCAGTGGTGTCTGGAGCAAATTTGCACATCATACTCTTCCCACAACTTACTGTGCTTCCACTAAGTTTGAACTTCAGAACTTTTGTTTTCCCTTTGCTCGTTATCTAAATTGTGGTGAGATTCATGAAACACAACCTTCACCATTTTAACCATTTATAAGTGCACAATTCAGTTGCGTTTAAACATTCAGAATGTTGTGCAGCTATCATCACTGTCTAGTTACAAAACATTTTTATTACTGCAGAGAAACACATTTGAAGCAATCGTTCCTTGTTTCCCCTGGCCGTGGCCACTGCTGATCTGTTTTCTGTTTCTATGGTTTTGTCCATTTTGTACATTTCATATAAATGGGATCATATGCAGGATGTGGCCCGTGGGTCTAGCTTCTTGCACTAAAATTAAAAATGTGCACTCTCTTCAATTCAGGAGTAAGTCCTGTAATATCTGAAAGAACTCAGAATTTCTGCAGAAACAATATGATTATCATTATTTTATCAAATTCTAAATTATGTGGTTTTTTGCAAAAATCAAATAAAAAATTAAAAAATAGAACTGGTAAGAGGAATGATGGTAGCTGCTGATATTTATTATTTGTAGAAACACCATTATCTTCTCAATGAGAATTTAGAGTTACAAAATTGGTCATTGTTAATGGTCATAATGAAAACTGACAAGGCAAATGCTATAATT